TTTTTTTTTAATAATGTGCCAAAAAGCATCTATATGTTAAGTGGAACTCTTTGTGTGGCCTCCTTCTAACAAGACACTGGATATTCTTGATGGGAAATGCTTCAGGGTTTGAATAAACAACTTCTAGCTTCTGAGCGCTCACTAATAATCTAAATTATGTTGTAATGATTTCCAGTCAGCAACCTCATAAGAGGGGAAGGGTCACATAATTTTGTGTATTAATAAATGTAGCTGAGCTGAGCCAGTAGTATTCATATAATAATGCATTTGAAAAATCAGATCTGACATATGTATTTTTCACTGAGGGCTTTAAAATTCTACATTTTTGCTGTCTCTTAGGAAAGAAATGCTGAAAATGCTATTGAAGCTCTGAAAGAATATGAACCAGAAATGGGCAAAGTGTATCGACAAGACCGAAAAAGTGTACAGAGGATTAAAGCAAGAGACATTGTCCCAGGTGATATTGTAGAAGTGGCAGGTAAGATTCATGTGTGTTGTACATATGTGTATTAGTATATTATTGTAAAAGTGTTGTGAGGGCTTTGTCTTAGTGATTTGAGGCCCTGGGGGGAATTTTCAGAGATGCCTAAGTATATGCTTCACTTACGAACAATCTTGCTTCTGTTAGTTTCTAATTACGTTAAATGTGCATTTGCACTGAGGGGATTGTTTTTCAAATTGCCACTTAGTTTAATTGGTAGGTCTAAAAGCAAAGCATCTTAATTGGAGTATGGGTTTTACACTTGTCATGACTAAAATGTTATTTTCTAAAGTCTTATTTTGGAGTGTCTTAAACTTGTCTGTTTTCTATCACAAAATACTCTCCTCCCTGCTTTTAAATGTGTTCAGTTTTCTTAGGTTCTGGAATGCAGTGGGTATTTTTTCTTCTTACAAGTCATGCTCTGTCCTTTAGATAAGGAAGGACAATTTCATCTGAAGGTGGTTTTTTTCCCTATCTCTTACACTTGTGATAGTGGTGCCTTTCAAAATCTCTTCACAAATGTCTTCTCCTTTCCTCTCAGCTAGTATGACTGGCATGTGATATCCTTATTTTCTTATTTTTCATAAGATTTATTGTTTCTTTTGCCTATTGCTGTATAGGAGACAACTAAACGAAGTAGAGCTTGCCATTTCTCCAGTGTAAGCAGTTGAAGTACCAGTCTTTAAAAGACTGGACGTTCTCATCAAGCTTTCTAATAACTTAGATTTGCCCTAAAAGATGTATCTTTATTTGGAACAAGTGCAGAAATAGAAGTATTGTATAATTACAGCCAAAACTCCTTCATTTTGGTGGTATCATCATACCAATAACTTCTTCTCTAACCTGGACTTGTTAGTGACTTTAATGTTTCAAGGTGGTTCTTATTAAGTGTCAGGAGTGATTGCATGCTCCTATTTTGTAGGTCATTATCAACTGTTAACTGAGTGATTATTCCTTTGGGAACAATTTACAGTGTACATCAAACTTTCTTTCCACTAGTGTCACTTTGCTTTTAGAGGTGGTAGCTGTCTCAAGAGGAGATAAATATATACCCTTAAACTTGACTATCCTCCTATTTTAATTAGCAGGCAGGGAGAGTATGCACTCAAAATGAAGTTGGTGTTGGCTGGCTGCCCGGCTTTCGTTCCCTGAGAAACTTTAATGTTCCCCGAGCCCTGTCTCCAGCCTTCGTTTTGTGTGTTGGATGTTTCGTGACAGCAGCTCTGGCTAGGGTAGTTCAGAGTGAATCTCGTGAAGGCTGAAGCTGGTTTCCTCTTAGCCTGCGTAGGTGAAGAACAAATACAAATATGAAGTGCTGATGGCTGAAATAAAGGGTGAATTATGATACCTTGTCACTTACTCTGCTGTTTTGACTCACTATTACTGCACTCTACTGTCAAATCCGTGAGTTCTGCAATGAGATTTTGTTTAAACCAGCTGATGTTTTCTGTGTACTTTTGGGGCAAACATAACCTTATAAATTACAGATTCTGCAATAGATGTCTAGTCCAAATCTTTATCCTGTTCTTAAATGTCAGCAGTAGAATGGTGGTTTTGGAACCACTTTATACCACAGGAATACACTGGGGTTGTGTTTTTTGGTACTTTAAAGCAGTATTGATAGAATTGCGAGTTGATGACTGTATTTTGTACTGGTTTTGGGAGTATCTCACAAAGGGAAAATGCAGACGTTTGCTCTGCCAGTTGTCTAGAGCACAGGAAATTTTCTTCTTTGTTCTTCACTCTTTCAAAAGTGATAGAGATTGCATTGTCATCTTGCAGAAGAAAGAAAAAGCTAAATTTCTATTTGAAACACCTGAGGAATGTGTGGGCTTATACTAACCTTGCTGTATATTGTCAGTATCAATAAAATCAAGTATTTGTGCCAACTCTTTCAAAGGCCTGTGTCTGAAAGAGAGAAATGAATTGGAAGTAAACCGCTGACTTAGAATACCTTTAGCACTAGGTTGTCTTCAACAAACGTCGAATCCTATTTTTCATAGGGTTACCATTGCATTATTTAGTAATCTGATTGTAGAACAGTGTCTGATAGTCCAACACATGTAAAACTGATTTAATTTTTATAAAAAGGACAAACTTTAACTACTGTGCTCCTGTAGAGAAACAAAAACTATCCAGCTCTTACGACTGCCCTTTAAGATAGGGGGTCTGGGTTGTTGGTTGACTGTAGAAGCTCGTGCCGGTTAAAATACTCACTTAAACTGATGGGTCAAGCAATCCTAAGCTAGTCTTAAGCACTCGTCCTATTTTTCTTACACTGGCAAATAAAATCAACTGCAGCGTCAAATGAAGGTACCTAAGTGTAAGTCATGTGGCTGTTTAATAAAAAAAAAAAAAAAAAGTGCTTCAGTGGAATATGAACTCTGATACTGAAACAATAAATTCTAACTTGTAGCTAGACGATGATGAAACTTTAATTGTGATCAGACTCAGAAAAGATACCAAGCAAGTCGAAGAGCAATACACTGTGTACCAGCACTACTGTGTCAAGACCTGGACGTGAGAAAGACTCTGCATGTCTGTGCCTCAAGTGTAGGAGTACTGCGATGGCCTTTGACATGGTGTTTGCAAAAAGATGACCATGTAGGGAAGTGACAGAGCACTTCAGGCTGGGATACATATCTGGGTATGGAATTCTGGGCAAAGTGCCAATGACATTTGTGTGTCCAGGCAAATATCTTCCAACCGAGTGGCATAAATAACCAGGTGATAGGTTTCTCCTCTATGCCGGTATCTAATTTTGAGAGACTTTCTACAGATCTTCCATTGCAAGATAGTTGCATTTAATGCTGTAACAACTTTGTTAGTTTGAAGTAACTATATGTGAGTCTGATGCAGAGATAACTCTTCATTGTAGGAATTGGTAGATTGGTATTGCAGTCTGGGGGAAGTGGAGGAATCTGTTTGTCTCTTTACATTGCAAGAGTTTCCAGAGAATAAGCAGCATTGAACCATTTCCAAAATATCAGAACCATTTCCAAAATATTCTCATATTTTCTGTAGTTTTGAACCTATTAAAAATAACCTAATTGGCTTAGTGTAACCCAGAGACAGTCCAATAATGTTTTATAGCGTTACTTTTTATTCTGGCTCCTTAGGCTGTTTGTAGAGTTTGACTGTTCATCATCGAGAATATTCAGTCTGCCTTGTGGCCTTCTAAAATAATGCTTCAGAAGTATATTTCTGGAAGATATTTCCTTTAACCAGTGTGTCAACAGAAGAAATGGATGCTGGTTTATTTGACTTGAAGGAATAGGGGAAGGCTGCGGGTCTGCTTTGTCACCTTGTAGTAATTACGGAGTAACCAGAACTAGATCCCTCAGGTAGGAGTTACAGGTTTGCCATGTATGCCCTAAATTTGCTTGCAGACCTCTGGTGGGCATAGTTCTCAGAGCTGTAGTGTCCAAGGGTTACTAAGTTACGCTATTTGTTTCTCAGAATTGATGAGATGAAAAAAAATGTGGATGTTGTCCTCAAATGGCTTTTTGGTTTGCCTGTCTTAAAATGGATTATTGTGCTGCTATAAAAGCTTAAATTTATTGAAACACACACTCTGAATTTCTAACTAGTGTCTGTCTTAATAGATTAAAGATGCCCTTTGTTTTAGTTAAGTTCTTGTTTGCTTTGGTTGAAGTAACATTTTAAAGAGAAACTTAAACCAGCATGGCCTTAGTTCTCAGAAGTTTTGTAAGAAGTCCAGTCTGATAAATTGGGATAGACTAGTTGCAGAGCACTTATTTTTAAGGACATGTGTCTGGAACCAGAAATGAGCTTTATTCACTTCTCTTATGTTTTCCTAAGTGGAATATTCTATTTTAGATACAGCGTATCTGACTTTCTGTAGTTTAATAAATGAATGCTCATTAGTTGTAATCTGTAAGTGACCAAACTGGAGTCACAGTAGTTACTCTTTTCAGTGAAGTACTGAATGATGGTTCTTATCATCCATTATTACATCTGTAAGTACTCAACAGCTTAAAAATATACACAGTGTTCCCAGAAGTTATGGCGTATTAAATTAGTGTGTATTCCAGAAGACGTAGTTTTAAGTTTGTATCTGGCATAAAGTATGCAAAAACTACTTTTCAAGGCCTTTAATTCTAACTGCAGAGCACTGTAAGACTCTTCCTAAAGCACAGGTGCTTTATAATTAAGGAAAGACAAGTTTCAGGGTAAAGAAAATTGGGAGGGAGGATTCGTAAGGTGAATTATGTCAAACTCCAGTATGGTTATGAAGGTTCTCTCCGATTGTATAAGCAACAAACATTGATCTTACTCCAAAACATCTGGGCCCTTGTGCCTGCGTTACTTTTCTAATAACGAGAACTAATGTTCAGGCTCAGTGCTAGAGAAGCACGTTTACTTTTTTTGGAAAAGTATTGAGAGTGGAAAAAAATAATGAAAAGGTGGAATAACACTTAAGTCCAGAATGGTGACCTGCTGGAGGCTGTCCTAAAAACATACTGCTGAGGGCATCTCTTGATATGGAAAAAGGTTGACTGCAAGTTTGTTTGGTTTGGGTGGTTTTTTGTTTTTTTGGGGGTTTTTTTTACATAGTGCAAATTGTCGTGTTTGGTTTTTAAAACTTAAGCACATATTTTCCATGAAGTACTGCTTTTGAACCAGAAAAAAATATGGAAGTCAGATCAGTGGTTAGTAAATACACGTACAAGCGTTACATAAATCTGTGAGCTTCAGTGAGCATTTGGCTGTCAAACTCCCAACACATCAGAAGCAGCTTTGAGATAAGGGGATGTAATCCAAACTCCATTCCATAGTCCACAGAAGTTTAGAGTTATGTGAGGTTCAAGTCAGGACACAGCCTAAATTTGTGTCACTCTCGGCACACGTTTGAGAACTTACACATTGGCAGTTTCTTTTCCCCAATTCTTGCAGTGTTTTCCTCCAGAGTTGCCAAACTGTTAAGTAGAAATAGTGAAACTCATTCTGTTTTGTTTGAATTTGGAACCTACCTG